AAAAAACAATATATAAAAAAACAAAAATTATATAAAAAAAATAAAAATGAGTTAAAATAATCAATTTTAATACTAATCATAAAAAGAAAATTAAAGTAATATTTATATTTAATTAAATAAAATAAAAAATTTCAAATTTTCTCGTCTAAAATTTTATAAAAGTTCATCTTTTTTTTACAATACTTTTGTTTTTTATTAACAATCCAATATATTTTTTAAAAATTTATCAAATTTTTTTATTAAAATAATATAGTCCTTTTTGAAAATCAATAATAAATACAAATAAATAATTAATAATTAATAATAAAGAGATAGTTAAATTCAGTATAGACAAAACATCACAAACTTATCATTTATTTCTGATAATTAAATAGATATTTTAAGATAAACAAATAAAAAATAAAAATAAATACAAAAAAGGATAAAATTTACTTAATAAGAAGATCAAATAATATTAAATTATGTATAAAGACATGGTAAAATTTGGTCAAAAATAGCAATATTGCTTTAAGGTAGAACCGAAACTATGATAAGAAACAGATATTATTAAAGCCTAAGAAAATAAAATTAGGAGAATTTAGATTCAACTAGATTGCTTATAAATATACAAACTACTTAAGATAATTAAATATAAGAAATTAATAATTAATAATAATAAAATAATTAATTTATGGAATATGAAAAAGATTAGTAATTATTTCTCAATAATTTACATAATCAAGATTATTGTTTTAGTGTTTATAATGAAATTGAACATAATGAAGAATTATTTGAAAATAAGTAAGGTTCTGACTTAAACTAAAATTATTAACTTGAAAATTAATATGATTATAATAATAATTATAATTAAATATTAAAATAATAAAATTAAAACAATTTTTTATTAAAAACTTAAAATAATGTAAAATATTTATAAAATTAAATTTAGATTATAGAAAGCTTATTATATGATTATAAATATTAAATTGTTTAAAATCTTAATTTAAATAAACAAAGATAATAAAATGATATGTTCGTTAAATATTGATGTAATATATATAGTTAGCCTTCAAAATATTTGCCAACACTAATATTTTATTTAAAATAGATTCATATGTTAAATTAATTCCAAAAAATTGTGGAAAGTGTCATAATATTAATTTTGACAGCCTTTTTTTAAAAATGATCCATAATAATATATTAAAAAATGAATTTAATATTATATCATGAAAGTATTTTATTTAACATTATTTTAGCAAATATATTGATTAATTTTATTTTTATTTAATAATTTTTTATTTATTTTTAGGTATTTTTAAAACTATAGTTTATATATTTTATTTATATACTAAATTTATGTCTTATATAAAATAAAAAATACAAATTTCTATGTTTTTTTTGTTCTTAATAAATAAATAATTTTATTATATAAAAAATAAAATATTTATATAATAATTTAAATATTGAATTTTAAGAAAAAATAATTTATAAAAATATAATGTAAATAAGTCTATAGAATATAATTATAAAACTGATATTATTTTTATCTTTTAGATTTATTTTTTAATTCCAATGATTGCTGTTTTTTAAAACATTACATATAAAATATATATTAAATTTATATTTTAATTATATATTTATTATTTTTTTTATTTCAAAAAATAAAAAAAATATTTCAATAAAAATAAATAAAAAATAAAAATGAATTAAAAAACAAATAATTATATATCTGAAGGTTTTTTTTTTGTTTAAAAAAAAAATTACAAAAATATATTGATGATTTTAAAATATTAAAAAGAATTTATTAAACAATAAAAAAAAAAAAAAGAAAACATTTAAACTAATTTTTATTAATTTTATAAAAAATATTAATTATAATAGATTTATTTGATGATGCACTTTGTTATATATAAGAAAAGGAAGAGCCAATAGATTTTTTAGAATATTTTTTCCAATATTAACGAAAAATTAATAATGAAGATGAGATCAAAATAAAATTATAATACTAATAAAAACAAAAAGTGAATAAATAATTTACTCCATTAAAACAGAAAACGAGCTTTTAAAATAAATAAATATATTTTTAAAACGAAACATTAGAAAGCAAAAGCAGTTTAGATTAAAATCCTTATTCATTAAAATATTCAAATAATATATTAAAAGAGCATTTTAATATTTCTTTAACAAATTTAAAAAATTATAAAAAATCATCATGGGTAATAAGAAAAGTATAATAATAAAAAAAGCAAAAATAAAATAATAATTCTAAAGATAAAAAATCTAATGAAATTAATAATTATGCTGTTTTTTAATAAGAATTAAATAATGTATTTGAATATAATTAACAAACTAATAAAAATAATAAATTTAAACTCAGTAATTATATTAATACTTAAAAAAGTGAACCTCCTCAAACTGCTCCTTTGATTAATAAAAATAATTCTTTAAATAAATAATTTAAAAGAAATATTCAAACAAGGAATGATTATTTAAAATAATATTTTAACAGTAATAATTTATAAAACTTTTAAAATTAATAAAATTTCAATCTTAGGTAAATGCCTTTATTTTGCTTAAATTTTCAAAGAACTTTAGATAATATTATTATGTATAATAAGTTAGGAATTTGAATATATTAATTTATAAAATTAAATGAATTTTATTTCTTATATTAATATTTCATTAATTTTATACATATATTAATATTTTTTTAAATTTATTCTTTTAATATGTAGTTTATATTTATTTATTTTTTTAAAAAAAACATAAATTCATATATATATATATACATTTTATTTGTTAATATATATTGATTCTATTTTTATTATTTAAAAGTGTTTCATTTATTTATTTAATTTTTTTTTTTTTATAATTTTTTAAAATTTATTCAAAACGAATTATTTGCGTATAAGTAAAAAAATTAATAATAAAAATGGGAAAAATAAATTTCTTATAATTTCTAATACATTAAGATTTAAATTATTTATAGCTTTTTTTAAAAAACATATAAAAAATAATTAACAAATAAAAAAAAGGAAAATAAAATATATATATAAGAAAAATAATATATGTATATATATATAAATAATATATAAAATAAAATTAAATAATTATATAATCTTTAGAACAAAAAAACAAAAAATATTAATATAATTTTTAAAAAAATAATATGAGTTTATAATAAGATTACGATTATTTATTTAAATTATTGCTAATAGGAAACTCTTCTGTCGGTAAATCCTCATTGCTTTTACGTTTTTCAGATAATATATTTAACGAATGCTTTTTACCAACAATTGGTGTTGATTTTAAAATAAGAACATTTGATATTGTAATTATTATAATATTTTATTTATTTTATTTAAAAAATCAAATAAAAAGCAAGGAAAAGCTGTGAAATTATAAATATGGGATACTGCAGGTTAAGAGCGTTTTAAAACAATTACTTCTTCATATTATAAGGGTGCTCATGGAATAATATTAGTTTATGATATTACTGATAGATAAACATTTAAAGATATAGATAATTGGCTTGCTGAAGCAGATAAAAATGCAAATGAAAATGTAGTGAAATTACTTGTTGGTAATAAAATAGATTTAGAAAATAAAAGATAAGTCAGTTTTGATGAAGGAAAGGAATTAGCTGATTCTTTAGGAATAAAATTTATTGAAACTTCAGCACTTACAGCAAATAATGTTGAAAATGCATTTGTCACTTTAGCTACTGAAATCAAAAGTAGAGTTTAGAAAACTACAGATAACAAAAATAATAATGCAGCCGGATAAGGAAAAACCAAAATTAAAGCAGGTGAAGATATTAATAAGAAAAAATCACAAGGAGGATGTTGTTGAAAGTTTTTTTATTTTTTTTAAATATAGAGAAGTTTTATAAATATTATATATTCATAGTATTTAAATTGTTTTTTCTTATTTTTTTTTAATACTAATAATACAAAATGAATAATAAAAAAAAATAGTTCTTATTTTTAATAGAGATTTTTTAAAAAATTAAAAAATATAAAACAGTAAATTTTATATATAAATAATTTTATATATTCACATATATATATATTTATATATATATAAATATATTTTATTTTTATATTTTTTTTAAATATGATTATTTAATTTTTATTTTATAAGAATATTTTTTTTTATAATTATAGAATAATATTATAATATAAATTATTATATTTTCAATATCTTTTAATAATTAATATTATAATTAATAAAAATTATTAATAAAATAATAAGTAATTATATTTTTTTCATATAAATTATTTATAATCAATTAAAAATTAAATTTAATATAAAATATTTTAATAATTTATTTTTAAATATACAATATAAGTATAATTATATTATTTAAACAATTATTATAATTATTTGGTTATAGGATTTATTACCTATATTAATATAATTATATATATATATAAATTAAAAGTGAATATATAAAAATATATATTATATATTTATATAGAAATACTCAATCGTCTTTTTTATAATTATTTTTTTTGGAACAACACAAAAAAAATTCTTGATATTTTATTAAGTTGAATTATTTTTTTTCATTTCATTATTTTTTTATTTTTATGTTTTTTTAATATGTTAAATATTACTTTCACTCCAATTGATAATATTAAACTCTAAATTTATTAAATCTTTATATTATAAATCATGTATAACACAAACAGTATCCAAATACCTTAAACTAGATTATTAAATTTATTCTTAAAATATATTTTCTATTTCTTTTATGCTCTCAATAATTATATCTGAAATAAGTTATTTTGTATTAGGATATACTATATCCTATTCAAATGTCATTAATTTTATTTAATCTGATAAAAAATTTAAATCTCTTATTAACTATTTCCATATTATAGAAAATTCTTATATTTAATTTTTTTTCTTATCAATAGATATTAATCCTCCTAATATTTCCACGAGTTTGGCTTATTATACTTTGTCTATTAAAAATAAAACGCGCTTTTTTTGACTTTCTATTATTTCATAACTACTTATTTTTAAATAACTTTATTTGGATGTTACGGATACTTATAAATTTGTATAATTTTAATGGGTATTAGTGTCAACTTATAAAAAGTCATTTTTAAAACTATTTTTTATGTTATTTTCTAAGGTTTATTATTATTATATTTGTTATTATTAATTCATTTTTAAAAAATAAAATGCACTTAATTTATTTTGATTTAACTAAATATTATTAAATAATATAAGTAAAACAAATGTTAATATTACAAAATAAAAGAAAGAAATATATAAAATATTTATATATATATATATATATAAATATATATATATATATATATATATATATATATATACATATATATATTTGAAAATATAATACATATATTATAGGAGTAGAAAATAAATTTTTTTAATTTATCGCTCTTTATAAAGATAATTTTAAATTAATAAAAATTATAAAAAAAACAGTGGATTAAATTATTTTAAAAGTAATAGCTAATTTATCTTTAAAAATCTTAAATGAAATATGGCTTAATAAATGACGTTTCTATTTAAAACATAAATGAAATAAAATAAATTAAATAAATACAAATAGATTTATATAGTTAAATATAAAGTAATTTTAATAATATAAAAATTTTATATATAACTTCAGGTTAATTGACAAAGGAAACAATAGTCAGTAATAAATTATTTTATAAATATTAAAAATATAATAAAAAACAATAATATAAATTAATTTATTTAAAAATAATTATAGAATAAAAAATAATAAATAATAATAAAAATGGAAAAAAAGTACAAAAAAATGAAATTGTTTAAAAAAAATGAAAAAAAATAATTTATATATTTATAATATATATATAAATATATATATATTGTATTATTAAAACTATATTCTTGATTAAGTTTTATTTAATGTCATAAATAAAAAAATATATTAAATTTTATATTTTTTTAAATACTAAAAAAAGAAAAATAAGATTTATAATTTAATAATACAATATATATATATATATATATATATATATATATATATATATATATATATATATATATATATATTTAATAATTTTTTTTGTAGTTATATACCATACTAATTTTTTTTTAATTATCATTTAAATTCTTTCTAATAATTTAATATATATTAACTATATTACATCTTTTTTTCAAATTTATAAATATTATTACTTATTTTAATTTTTTTTGTTTATAAAGTAATGTTTAATTTCTATTAATATAATTATCATTTAATATAAAATGAAAAATTATAGAATATTTTTAAACTTTAATTTAATAATCTTTTAGTTAAATTATATATTATATTACTAAATACAATTCACTGATTTTATTTTATAAATTAAATTTAATAAAATATTTTATTTTTATAAGAATTCTATTATCAGAAATTAATGATTAATGTTATATTTGTTTAAGTTATAAATACGAACTTTAAAATTGTTAAATCCTCTTCATATAATTGATAAATATAAAATTATTTTAATATATAAAATGGCTAATATTTTTGATTTAGATAGATATAAAATGTATTAAAGATTAAAAAATAAGAAACTATAATATTTATTTTAAATGGAATAAAGGTTTTCTTTATAATTAAACTTATTTTATCAGAAATTAAGCTAAGAAGATGAATATTAAAATACTTAATAATCTTCTGATGATGAATTTTGCTATTAAAATAATTCACAAAGAATAAATATGTGTATATTATCTCTAATATCACATTATAAATAAATTAGTTAATAAAATAATAGTTTTAAAATGTAAAAATAAGAAAGTAAAAAAAGGTCTTAAAATTAACATTTATAACATAAATAAATGAGTATAAAAATATAATATAACTAATAATTAAGAATGGAGAATTCATATAGTAAATATAAATGATAATTTAAATAATTTAGATTTAGATAAATAAACAAAAAAATTTTAAACTAAAAAATATTATATATTTAAAAAAATAAATAAGATTAAAAAAGAGCTTAAAATTAATAAATTCAATTATTGGATATAAATGAAAAGTAAAAAAGAATGTTTATTATTATTTAAATAAATTTTCGTCTTCTTCTTTTTCTAGCGTTTATCACATATATAATATAATTTATATAATTTTTTTTCATTATTTAATATTTAGTTTAAAAATAATTAAATTTGATTAGTACACAATTAACATATTTATAATAAAAATAAAAATTAAATTAAATTAAATTAAATTAAATTAAATTAAATTAAATTAAATTAAATTAAATTAAATTAAATTAAATTAAATTAATTAAATAATATTTTCTATCAATATCTATCCCTTAGTATACCATATGCATTATATTTTTTTATAGCAAATTATTCATCTATAATAGGTTATTATATTAGACATTTATAAATTTACAAAATGATTTTTTTATTATTTTAATTTATAAATTTTTATACAACTATATTTTACTTTTAACTTTTTTTTATTTATATATAATTATAAATTAAGCTAAAAATTCAAATATAATATTTTGTTTTAAAAATTCAATTTTATTTTAATAATAAAATATGCATTCTACAGATATATTATAAACAAATATAATATTAATAAAAATAATATCGACTTAAAAATATAACCATACTCCTTTTTAATTAATAATATTTACTTATAATGAGTTTAAAAACAAAAAAACAAAAAAATATTGAAATAACTTTTTGGTACTATATAAAAATTAAGGAATTATAGAATATTAATATTATAGTGATTGTACCGTACCTATTTTTGAAACTTAATAATTATTTTAAGAATAATTGTTAGTAAAACGATGCGAAATAAATAAATGTTTATA